TATAAGTAATTCAGAAAAAATACTTTAAATACACCAGAGAAGGTTGCTGCCAGTTGTTCTAAGATGCACCTGCTGGGAAGACATGCAGGGTGCCTGCAGGTGCCTGTGAAGCTGAGGGGAGTTGCAGCAGCTCAGCTGCTCTTGGGCTCTTGTCTCCTAATTCTTAAAAGAACAAGATGCACTGGGCTCCGTGGAAGAGCAGGGGTTTCTCAGGTAATTGCCATCCGCGTGGAGATCAGACGCTGTGTATTTGAGTAGTTCCCTTTTAATGTAGGGCATTTCACAGCCTCTGGTCTCATCTCAACTTCATTCAGGAGCTTGTGTTGAATTTTGCTCAATGTTGAGCTGTCGCAGTACTGCACAACTGCTCCTTCTTTCTGTAAAAGGGAAGTTTTAGAATACCAGTCATGTACAAATACTGTTGGCAACATCTCCTTAAATGCTGCTGTACTCTTGTGTGTATGTGGTAGTGTCTTTTTTCTCCTTGCTTTTGTCCAGTCTTAGCAGAAAACTAACCTAGCTCTTTACTGGTGATCTAAAAATCAAGAAAACGGTATCTTGAGTTATGTTGTTTGTACTTAGTACCTTCAGGAGAACTTTAAAAAAAAAATCATGGCAATTTGTGTATTTAAATCTACAGTTAGTGTAATACAGGCTATGTTACAGTTTAGCTTGAAATAATTACAATTTAAAATCATCACTTGAGAGCAACTGTATAAAAAGATGCTAATAAATTTTTTCTTCATCACTCAGTCGAGGTTCTCTAGAATGGTAGGGCCTGTCTTCCCCAACCTGGCGTAACAGGGGAGGGAATCGCAGAAGTGCTCCCGTCCTAAGGGATATAGCTGATATAGAGCACAATATTTATTGAGGTGGAGAATTTCACCTTTTGGTCTTGCAGCTCTGTGTGGCTTTTGAATGTCTGTTTTTTGGCAGTGAGTCTCCTTGTTCTCCTGCCTTCAGTCCCTTTTGATTAAAGGAGGGAGTAGGAAGGCCTTGTGTGCTCTGCCTGTTCTCTTATCCATCTCTTATCCTGTGTCTAAACTAACAACTTCAAGCTTTCCTGATAGTGGAGGCTTGCCATCCATCTGTGCCACCTGGGTTTGACCTCTTCACTTGCTGATTTAAGAAAGAATATAGTTAGGGCCGAATATTGCTTTTGGAGTGGTGTATCATGCAGATAAGCAGCCCCTTAGTGCCTTCACGCGTTGTTCCTCTAGCGCTGTTGTGCGGCAAGATGCCTGCGCTGAAGACCTTCCTCTCTCTTTTCTGATCGGTTGAACCCTCCCGCGTGTGAGGAGTCGGCTGTTCCTTCCCAGTGTCTGTGGTCTTGCACGTGTCAGTGTTGACATCCTGTTGCTCAGCTGATTCGTTCAGGATGGTGGAGCGCTCTTGATTTTACACTAAAAAAAAAAAAAAAGTTGATTCCCCCCCCCCCCCCCCCCTGGCGGCCCCCCGTGGGGCTTTTCTGGTGTCCAACTGTAGAGTTTTGGTAGGCACAGCTGAAATGCATGCTGCTGATGGGGGTCTACAGGCCAGGAGATGCACTGGGAAAGAGCGTGAAGTCAAATGGAGTGATGGCTGTTGCTACCCTGCCTCTCTTGTAAAATACTCTTGTTTTGCTGTACCCTTGCAATGTGTTATCCTATCACTAGAATGCCTTTTTTCCCCTCCTTCTTACGTTTGACTTGTGGCAAGCACAACAAACGTGGCAGGTAATAATGCAGAAACGAATAACGGAAATGAGCTTGAGATCCTTGAGAAGAATTTGAAAATAATGGCATAATTATTTTTCTCCTCTCCTCTTTCCCCTCCAGAAGGATTTCTTATTTCTCTAAATAATCCAGCTTTCTGTAGTATGTTGTACTTCCAGTCTTCGAAACAGGTGCTCTTATTCTTCAATACAACAACCAACACTCATTCTATATACAGAAAAAAATCAGACGGGCAGATAATGCCATCTTTTCCCTCTGTTCTGAGACTGGCCTTGATTGTGCTAGTGTGAGCTGCAGCCTGGTTGGCATCCAGGTTCCTGGCTGAATGCTTGGAAATCAGAGTAAAACCAAGCACGAGAGGAGATTTCATTCAGTCCCTTGTGCCTGCTCTGCCACCCCCCTGATTTTGACTGTCTGTTTGTTTTCTTTTCAGTCCTGAAGTGGTAAGGACCCTGCTTTCTGAGGTGTCAGGAGATCTCCTCTGGCTCTTGCAGTGTTTCTTCCATCAATTCAGTTGGAAGATCAGAGGAGAGGGAAGAGTGTGAAATTTGTGTCTGCTCTGGGAACCGTGACTGCAGGGCTGTTAAATCTAATATCAAGCTTTTGATGCTGGCACTGTTCCTCTGAACAGGGTCCAAAGACAAATTTAATATTCTTATGGAATCGTGTCACCACATTAGATGAACCTTACTCTCAGTGAGCTGGTATTCATTAAAACCTATCTCCCTGGCAGCAAGGCTTTTTCAACACGGGCATAGTGCACACAACAACAACAACAAAAAGTATTTTTCTTCATCAAGATATTACACATCCATAAATCTGAAACTTAGTGCCACCTGGTCCCTGCAGCTAAGGGGAAGGGTGCAAACCCGTTTCCAGTATTTGCTCACACTTTGCTCTGACAGCCACGGGAGTCGCATTTTGTGCGGTGCTGCAGGTGAAATGGGAACCTGTAGGTCTGTGAGTCTCCTTTCGGGCTCTGTTTTCTCCAAAGCCAGCGCAGGCTGAGGATTCCACCTGAATGCCCACAAGTCCACGGGGCCAGATGGGATCCACCCGAGGATACCGAGGGAGCCGGCAGAGAAGCTTGCCCAGGCCCTTTTCATCATTTTTCAGCAGTCCTGATCAACCGGGGAGGTCCCAGATGACTGGAAGCTAGCAAATGTGATGCCCTTCTACAAGAAGGGTCGAAGGAGGATCCGGGGAACTACAGGCCTGTCAGCCTGACCTTGGTGCTGGGAAAGGTCATGGAGCAGATCATCTTGAGTGCCATTACGCGGCACATGC